CGCCATCAGAGCAAAATTTCCCGTTATTGTTTATCGCCCCACCCCCAAAAATTACAAATTAAATCTGTCATAAGTGCAGCGTTATCCTGCCGTGTTTAGGGTGAAGGTAACTCGCATTATATTATCAAGAGTACATAATAGGAGACATAGGATCATAGAGTACATAATCTCCTATTATGTACTCTTCGTATTATTGATACAATGACAAGAAATCTGCCCTGATACTGTTGTCTAAAGTTAGGGCCACTCACACTAATGACAGATTTATTTTGAAATATTTACACTGAAGCTGTGGCAAGGGTGAGGCTGAGGGTAAGGCAAGGATGAGATGAGGGTGAGTGTGAGTGTGAGGGTGAGGGTGAGTGTGAAGTGTGAGTGTGAGTGTGAAGTGTAAAGTCTGAAGTCTGAAGTGTGAGGCTGAGGGTGAGTCAAATGTGAGTGTGAAGTGGGAAAATGAGGTGAGGTGCATGAGGCTGACTCCCACTAAATCAGCAGAACACAATTATGCGAAGGCGGGAGTTAGAGGTGGCAAAGGTGAGGCTAAATCTCACACCTATCACGAATGGATGGACAGACCGGAATCATGCGAAAGCGGGAGAGATAGCGATGGAGGCGAGTTGCACACATATAACCTCTATGCATTCGTGTTTAATTGGTTAATTTAATTAATTAGCTAGTCTGCATCCGCTTGTATCCGCGCTCTGCTCTAATACGTTCGGACTGTCGTCGATATTAGCGAGCGCGCTAAATGTAATTGTGCGTATCAGTGCCTAACGAAATACGCGCCTGCTTTCTATACGTGCCGGACTAGAGCGAGCGAGAGAGAGCGTGCGTGCATGCAGGCCAGCGAAAGAGAGGGGGCGGGAGAGAGAGAGAGAGAGAGTGCGAGTGTGAAAGAGAGAGAGAGAGAGAGAGAGTGAGCGAGAGAGATAGAGAAAGTGCGTGCGAGTGAGTGAGAGAGATATAGCGAAAGAGAACATAGAGAAAGTTCGAGTGAGAGAGGGAGAGAGCGCGCGCGAACAGGCGGACCCTAGCGATCTGCATTTGCGACCGAAAGCGCAACCGCTGAGTGTGTGGGTGGTGTGTCGTGTGTGTGTGTGGTGTGTGTGTTTTGTGCGTGCCGTGCGCGCGTTTGTGTGTGTGTGGTGTGTGTGTGTGTCTGTGTGTGTGTGGCGTGTGTGTGGGTCCTGTGTGTGTGTGTGTGTGTGTGTGCTGTGTGTGTGTGTGTGATGTGGTGTGTGTGGTGTGTGTGTTTGTACATGTGTGTTGTGTCGTGTGTGTGTATGTGGTGTGTGTTGTGGTGTGTGTATGTGTGGTGTGTGTGTGTGTGTGGTGTGTGTGTGGTGTGTGTGTGTGTGTGTGTGTGTGTTGTGTGTGTGACGGCGCGTCGATGCCAATGGTCCTCGAGAGAGCTTACTGTGCGTACTCGAGCTTCCACTCTCTCTCGCCCTCTCGCTTCTCTCTCTCCCTCCTCTCGCTCCCTGCTTTTCTCTTTCTCTCATCGTCTCTGCCTTCTCCCTCTCTCTGGCTCTCTCTCTTATTTCTCTCGTTCTCTTTTTTTTTGTTGCCGCGCGCCCACGCCGCCGCCGCCGCCCCCCTTCTCTATATATATTATATATATATATAATAAGATTATTATACGCTGCAAAGTATGCGAGAGAGAAGACGACAAAGTGTTTGGCGACATTAGGCGGAAGGTCATGAGACGTTGCGGAAGGAACACACATGAACGAAGACAAGCGGACGAACCTAGCTCAGGATCGGTGAGTCACTCACGATCTGTCGCCTTGCACGCAATTATCGAATTAGCGAAGATTATCGCTACGTGAAGCGGAAAACATCTATGGGGTGCACGCAGCCCTGCACCACACACACACACACACACAGCACAGCACACACACACACACACACAGCGACACCACCACACCACACACACACACACACACACACACACACAGCACACATCACACACACACACGATCAGCACACACGCACGCACACACACAGCCACACACATACACAACACACACACACACACACACACACACACACCACACACACACACAGAACACACACACCACACCACACACACACACATACACACACACCACATCACTACACACACAACACACGGCGGAGAGATGCAGCACGCATGCACATGCCTGCGTGCGTGCGTGCAGCTGGTGGCGTGCGTGTGGCATGGAAGACGCGACACGAGGAACAAAACGTGCGTGCGATGTTACGCATTTTTTTACAGAATGGCGCAAATTGTTAATGTACTGATATATATAATATATATATATATATATCAGGAGCGTAAAAAAAATAATGAAAATCTATTTGTCATTTTTTAAAATACGCTCCTGAATATATATATATATATGCGGTGTGGGTGTGACCGTGTGACTGTGGCATCTATATAATGCACATACATATGCATATCATATGCAGCATACACACGGCATGCATGCATATATGAAGGGGGCTGCGTGTGTGCGCGTGCGTGTGCGTGCATTGTGCTGTGCGTATCGATTCGAAAAGAACATCGAATGGGGGGAGAGTAGCCGAGAGCATTTTCGAATACCCACCCAGATTGTAACGAAGGTGAACACGCGTGCATAGTGAAAGCGGCCGCGCGAACGAATTCAGAACCGAACTGTAATAGTATATAGCATTGCGTCAAAGAAACCAATTCCGCAGCGTTGAGATGCGGCTAACGACATTCAATGC